ACTAAGAAGATCTCTCTAGTTCCTCCGATGGACCACCACACTAACTTCCTCACGTAGAAGCTTGCTCTGAACTAATGAACCAAAATCCAGAGCAAAGCCATTTCAAGCCATTTCAAGCCTTCCCTCATCTCCTGGTGAGGCGACTGCCCAGCTCCCAGAAGCGACCCACCGGGACTTTTCCCCAGCAGGCTTGGTTTGGGGAAAGCTTGAAAGCTCACTATGCTCTGGAGCAACGAGCATGAGACAAGATTTCAACAAAGCTAATTCACCATTTGCTCAGCAAGGATCTTGTAGGTGCTGGATGCCACACAGCAACAGGAACACAAAAATGGATACTTCCCAGAGCAAGAGTGAGAAAAGAACTCAGCCAGTGCCTCATTCTTACACATTTAAAACAGACCCTGAGTTCTTCAAACTATAATTGCCTGACCTCAAAATGTGCACAGATGCATGCACTGTGTTCTATTTGCAGGGCTTTCACTATTTAAAAAGACTTCCATAGCAAATCTGTCTGCCAAATTTGCCTCTCCCTGAGCGTTTTGTTTCCAAAAGCTGAAACATGGTCATCTTTTTTTAATCTGGGCTTTTGACCTTACATGGCTATGTCTCCTCTTGGGTTTGCTCTTTCAGGAGCTCCGACTCTGGTTCAGATACAAGCACAGCAAAGGCATCTCATTGTTCTACGGAGGGGTTTTTAGCAGCTGGAACTAAACCCCTCACTTCCTGAGAAGATCCCCCCTGCCCCCCACCCGGGCCTGCTCTCTGGGTGAGGATACTCCCAAGCTGCCTGAATCTCACCTGAGCAGGACTACAGGAGTCAGGGGTTGCCCAGCAGGGGCTCACACCTGAGTATACTTCTAGGGAGGCGACTAGAAAGATAAAACATTGGTGCCTGCCCAATATCTCATGTTTGCACTGTAAAAACCAGAAAGTGACCGGTGAGAGAACTCATCGGTTAAGATCTCTTGATTCTTTCCCAGAGAACTGGGGTTCAGTTCCCAGCACCCACGTTAAGTGGCTAACCACAGCTTCAGGGGATCCAGCACCCTCTTGTCTCCTCTGCAGGCACCAGAACACACATGTGCATACACACAGATATAATCACATAAACAAAAAATAAACTAATCTTAAAATTTAAAGACAGAGGAACAGCAAACAGCCCCCGAGGCCCCTCCAGCAGGGTTAGACAGCACTGTGTTCCATCGCACTTGCTGGTATTAAAAAGAAAGGGGCACTGCTTTGAACAGCACTTGACAAGTCCTCTAGACCTTATACTTACATTTCCTCATCTGCTTTTCATAATCCTGTGAGATAAGGCCAAGAGGAAGGTGCTAACATGTCCCCTTGAATGACACTTTAGAACCCCAGGGACAGTTTTGTAAGTTCCTGGCCTCAGCCTGAATTCCTTATGACTGTATGAGAGCCACTGTAGTGACCACCAGACATGGAGACCTCCCCAGCACTGGCCTGTGGTAAAGCTACAATGGATAGTTGTCACCATTTCCATATGTGACAACCCCCTGGGTCCTAAAGGCATACAGCTCCTGGCAGAACTGGGCCCAAGAGACAAGTTTTTGTTTTTCTCCACACATAGTTTCCACTGATGACTAAATTCTCCACAGACAAATAAAAAGCTGCACTGCCCTGGTTCTTCCCACAGCCCCCTAATGTCAGGCTAAATGGAACCGCAGCCAGCCCTGGGCAAGCGAGCTCACCCTGGGCAATCAGCATCTCTCCATGCAACTGACCACAAATCAAGAGCCCTGTAGGGAATTAATTAGAGCCTGGGAAAAGAAGGCCTGAGCCCTCAGCAGTGTGGGCATCCCTCCCATAGTCCTTGATAGCTGTGCTTAAACATGTGGATGGATTCTTAACAACTCCTTAAATCTTGTAAGTATCACAATTCCTTAAGTCCCTAATAGGAGACAGTCATTCGAAACACAAGACATAGAGAATGCATAATATCCCTTTTAAGGATATATCAATATATCCGTTTTCACCCATCATCAAGAACTTTAAACAAGAAACAGAGTTCAAGAATAGACGAGCAATACAAGTCAAACCATTTATAGTGTAAAAAGAATGCACACAGGAGTATGTGCATAATATGTTACAGTTCATACAAAATATCCTCACAGGCCAGAATAAAAGCACAGAGTCTTCCAAAAGCACCCACTGTGCCAACAAATATTGAACAGGGGGTTTGTAGAACACAAAGGGAACACTTCAAATTTTGTCTTCCCAGGCAAGTAACGGGAAAAAAAAGTTCTCGGATGCCTGAAAAGCAGAGAAAGACTTTCAAAGTGATCTGTTCTCACTGGGGACATTTACTTAATCTGCTTATTTAAAACCAAAACTAATCATTCTGTTCACACTCAAATGCCCAAAAGATTGACTGAAATTTGACCAAATGTCCTTTCACACACAAACTGGAGCACGTTCTGTAATTTGAGAATCTCTCACTAAGACCAAACACACCACCTAGAGGCAAAGATTGGTCCTGAGTAATACACTAAGACATGTATGCCCTGCTGTGAGATCAAGTTCTTTCATTATAAGTTCAGGTACTTTGACTCTTAACGTTTTGAGTTGAGACCAAGCCTGAAGAGAGTTTAACTTTTCTCCCTTCCTTCCTCCATTCTTTCCATTCTTTCCTCCTTTCTTCTGCCTCCAAACAATACAGACCCTTTCAGTGTTCTTGATTGCCTACCATAATCAGAGAATAAGAGCAAATTGAAGGACACATCACACACCTACATTGCAAGATACAGAGAAAAGCTAGAACGTAGTTGGAAACCTTCCTACTATCTGGCTAGCTTACAAAGCATGAGAGAGTGTCCTCCTGGCTACTCAGGAGGTAAAGGTTTCATTGGTCTAACCCAGATGTGAACCCTGCAACCAAAAGGCCAACCCACTAGGCAAGATGTGCCTACCTGCACAGTACTGGCATGACTATTGTGAAGGTAACTTGCTGCCCTTTTATTTGGGGTAAGGACATGAGAGGAGGTACCCCATGCCTGGTATTGCAATCCCAGCTAACAATCCAGGACTGGGGATATCGTAAGTCCACTGTGAAATGTAGTACTATTGTTTATCAAACTTCCTTCTAAATATCTATGCATATATTTGTAGACAATACTTTTCTCTCCTTCTTCCCTCCCTCCCTTTTCTTCCTTCCTCCTTTTTTAGAATGAATTGGAAATTCTCATTTTCAAAACCCACAGAAGAAAAACTAATCAACCACTCTCCACTGGAACTCAGCAGCCAAAATTGGTTTTGCTGGTTAAAAAAAGAAAATGTCTTAAGGTTTTTATTGCTGTGAAGAAACATCATGACCACTGCAACTCTTATAAAGGAAAAACGTTTAATTGGGGTGGCCTACATTTTCAGAGTTTTAGTCCATTATCATCCCAGTGAGACATGGTGGCATGCAGGCAGACTTGGTGCTAGAGAAGTAGCTGAGAGTTGACTTGCAGGCAACAGGGAAGAAGCCATTTGAATAGTAGGTGTTGCTTGAACATCTATGAGACCTCAAAGCCCACCCCCACAATGACACGCTTCCTCCAACAAAGCCACACCTCCTAATAATGCCACTCCCTATGAACTCTTGGTGGCCAATTACATTCAAACTACCACAGAAAGTGACACAAAATTGGGTGGTTAGATGGAATAGTAGGTAGAAGGGGTGGGTCTGGGAAGAGTCGGGGGTGAATATGATCAAAGCAAGTTGCACAAAATTCTCAAAGGACTAATAGAGTATTCTTGAAGTTAATTTAGATGACAAAGGAAAGCACCCGGTTTGCCACAGTGAATGTATGCAGTACCCCTAAGGCTTCTTCAGCCAGAAAGATTGACTTACATGGCACTTTCTTCATTGCAGTTTGAGTTGCCAGTGTCTACTGTTGTGTTTTGGCCAGGTGCTTCATCTGTGAGATCCAGCCAGGTCTGATTCTTGAATTTAACTGTGATTCTCTTAGTCCAGAAGAGGATGCAGGGGACTCCATCCCTGGAGAACTTAACAGGATTGTGATGACTGAATGTACTCCAAAGGGTTTTGCTCAGATTGTAGTTGAAAGTCTAATTAGCCAAATGAAAGAAATTTAAGAGAGAAAGGTGTGTCCCTAGGATTAAAGACTCCCCACAGATAAAAAGGTCAACTGGCATCCTGTAATAATGTATACATGGTGTTATATATTTACTTAAATACAACACAAAGAGTAGGCCAATTATTCTAGTGTAAATGCAAATGAAAGAAAAACTGGTCAAGAGAGAGCAGCAAGTAATAAAAGATGCACTTGCTGCAGCTCCTGTGGGAAAACCATAAAATGGAATGCTGTGATGAAAATATGAGAGTACAAGTAAAATTAAGAATTGTGTGTTTTTCTCAGCTTCCCAGAGTTCAAGTGAGATTATGTTAATAACTAATGTAACTATTGTGTACATATTCCATAGTAGCTCTGAAAGCATTAAAAAGTGCATATGTTATTTAGGTTAAAGGTTAATGTCTGGACAGCCATACCTGTGTGATCGGTATTGTGAAATTCTGGACTGGCTTCACCTCTCCGCTATTTTCTTGACCTGTCAAATAAATGATGGCGTGAGCACCAAGTGAGCACCAAGTTAACACCATGGGATGATGCTAAGGAGCTAATCACCGGTCTGTATCCTATTTGGGCTTACCATTTGAAATGTCCTAGTTTAAAGGATTTTTCCAGGAGGGATTCTGGTTCAAACTACACCAGTGAGGTTAATGTACCCCAGAAAAGACCTTTCTTTATCCCTGCCCCCAGGAAACACAAGGGCAAGTCCAAGCCTTACCACTCCGTATAATCACTTCTTTACTTGAAGACGCTTGAGAACTGCAATTAGAAATAGAGTTTGAAATGCAGAGCAAACATCTACAGTGGAGGCTTCACATGAAGTTCCGAGAAGCATTTCAGCTGTGTCCATCTCACTCGGGGGCACACTGTGGCCACTCAGAATTCAGCACTCCTAAGTGATGAACTTCTGATTTAAATGTAACACATCCTCTCCAAACAAAGTATAAAAAAATACATTAATTCCTGAAATCTTTCTCTTTTTATGAATCAATTCTGATCTTTACTGGATATTATAGAGACACAACTTGCATGCCAAGCAGTGAGCTATCCACCCAGCTTTAACCAATAGCAAAAACATAATAATATGTAGTAAATTATTTTACAATGAAATTTTATATCATACTCTGTTGTTACTATATTATAGTCAAATTATTCAATATTTGTTATTTTTTTAAAAAGACAAATTCAGGCAGGCAGTAGTTCATGCCTTTAATCCCTGTACTTGGGAGGCAGAAGAAGGAGATCTCTGTGAGGGCAAGGCCAGCCTGGTCTACAGAGAGAGTTCCAGGGCAGCCAGTGCTACACAGTCTTGAAAAAACAAGCAAGCAAACAAACAAAAGACAAATTCAACTGCCAAAAAAGCATTTCTAAAAATATAAATTATGATCTATAGCCTTCCACTCTTTATCTATACACATAAAAATATACATATATCACATAATTTACTTTATATAAAACAAAAATATATTGAGAGCACATTGTTTTTCAGCCTGCAACTTTTGAACTTCAGTGTGTATCACAAACATTTACCTATGCTGTCATTTTTTGGACAAAATTTTGAGTTTCACAAAATATTGCATCATAAATATGTATCATGGTGTCTTCAGTATCATGTTACTAGTCTCACATATTTATGTTGTGGTTTAAATGTCCTCCAAAGGGCCAGTTGTTGGTGGCGCATGCCTTTAATCCCACCACTCGGGAGGCAGAGGCAGGCAGATCTCTGTGAGTTCGAGGCCAGCCTGGTTTCCAGAGCAAGTGCCAGGATAGACTCTAAAGCTACACAGAGAAACCCTGTCTCAGAAAAAAAAAAACACATTTTTTCTGTCTATATGTACATATTGATATTTATGGGCTTGTGTAGTTTTTGTAGCTTGGGACTTTACAAGCAAAGATTTAAGAACTTTCATGTATGCTGGCTAGTGTGGACTATGTCCCATTCCCCTCCCCCTCCCAGTTCTGAGGCATGAACCTAGGGCTTCATTTGTGCCAGGCATGTGCGCTACCACTTAGCCACACCACAGCTTAGGAGACATTTCTGTTTGTAAGAAGTCCCTTGTGAGTGAGGTTGGCATGATTCAGTCCTCTAAAGCCAATCTCATCTTGATGCACTTGGGAGCACTAAGAAATTTAATTTCCTGAACAACAGAAGTACTGTATGTCTTATGTAAAACATTTCTACCTACCTAAACTCCAAATCCTCAATCCTGTGAGTTGAAACATCACTAAATACATGACAGAAGAACTAACTAGCAGAAAACACTCCCTGGAGACACAAAGCTTTCTCATACACGTGAACAGAATTTTAAATTTTTCTTCAGTTAGAAGAGTATTCAAAAGCCATATATCATAACATCAGCTTATACAACCAACTTTTTTAAGTTTCTTCATTAACAAAAACAGAAATGGTGAAGTATATTTTACCTAGGAAAGATAAATGTATCAAGTCAACTGGGAATATTTAGCTAATGGAAGATATTTACTAGATATTTATTGAATAGAAGTATATTAATGAATAAATAAAAAAGCTGTAATACCAGTAAACTGCTTGGTTTGAGGCTTTGGTTTGTTAATTAAATTTTTTCATGTGTTCATTAATGAAAGCCTTATAGTAAACAAAGAAGTTCACTGTCTGGTCTTACAATACAATAATGTCATTTAAAAAAAAAAAAAAGAATACTGCAATGCAGACAGGCTTTGCATACAACCCTAAGCTTGACCAAATGAGATTTTATTGGAAACCTAATTTCAACCAAAACAAAATATGCATCACTGCATAGTATCTGGATGATAGGAAAAACTAACAACTGCCCACAATTGTCTTTGGTGAATAGGTTGAGAAACACTAATGTGAGAAAATTAAACCTTGCTTGGCCTAGTAGCCTAGGCCTGAAATGCCTAAGGAGCCCGAGATCAAAAGCTCATGGTCTTTTGAGTCCACATAGGGTGTTCAAAACCAGCTTGGGTAACTTACTGAGTGCCTTTCATAAAATTACTATATTTTTAAGTAGCAAGATATCATAATGATGTATCATTAATATAATCTAACAAAAATAGTTTTAAGCGGTTAAGGGCCTGGGGAGATAACTCATTCGATAAGCATGTAGAGTTCAATTCCGAGACCCCATGGAACATGGTGCCATACACTTGTAATCTTAGCACTTGGTAGGCAGAAACAAAAGACTCCCAGGGACTCAGTGGCTAGCCAGCCCAACTGAATCAGCAAGTTCTAGATCTCTGAAGTGACCCTGCTGCAAAAACACAAGGTAGAAACAGAGACAGACCTCTGTGAGTCAAAGTCGGACTGACCATCATAGGGATTCCCAACCAGGCAGGGCTGTATAGTGAGGCCCTGTCTCAAACAAACAAAAGAATAAATCCAATTTAGGATTCCAAAAAAAAGGAATTGTGACTTTCACTCTTTTTTTTTTTACAGGACATTTTTCCTTTTGTGCGTGTGTGTTTACATATTTGCATGAGGTGTATGCATATGTGCGTATATGTGTGTGTAGAGGCCAGAGGAGACTGCTGGGTGTGTCTTCCCTTCTGCCTTACTCCCTAGAGACAGGGTCTCTCACTAATCCTGGAGCTCACTGTTTCTCAGCAGTCTTCCTGCTGGGCTGGGGTGACAGGTGTTCATGGCCAAGTCTGCCTTTTCTGCCTAGGTGCTGAGGTCCAAACTTGGGCCTTTACTACTGGAAGCGTGCTCTCAGCCACTGAGCCACCTGAAGCCCCAGCACTCCGGACTCTGCTCTTTAAACTTTGGAAATGTGCAACATCCTGAAACTGCTGTCATCTCTCTTCGGAATCGCCCTACAGTGTTAAAAGATAGCTTTAAATCCAGATCCATGACTGCTAGATTCCAAAATAGGAATTGTTGGTCCCTTTATAGTAAATTAGCATACATTATTAGATTGGGATGGTCATCTATGTGATTTAACTTATTTGATTTTTTTTAATTATCATACATAATTGGCTTTCATTGGCCCTCCTTTCCTCTCTGTACCCCTTCTCCTCTTCCTTCCCCAGTAGCTCCCTTCCATTGTAAGGACACTTGTATTCAATGACTTCATTTCTTTCATTCCACCCCAGCCCTCCCTTAAGACCTCTTTTTCCCTTTCATGATCCCTTTCCTAGGTTCATGACCTCCACTTGTTCCTCCTCCATACATAGCTAGAAATCAAAATCTAGGCCCTGCGTAAGAGAGAGCATGCTGTATTTCCAGTTCTAAGCCAGGGGTGACCCACTTCATATTCCCACTCTACCCTTTTTTCTTGCAAATGTCATAGTTTCTTTCTTCTTTGGGTTAAATAAAATCTTATTGTGTCTATATACCACATATTCCTTGTTCAGTCACTTGTTAGTAACTAGTGACTGTAGTGTATAGTTCTGTAGCTATTGTGAAGGATGCAGCTGTTTGTATAATTTCTAAGATCTGAGCTTCTAAAGCTAAAATTATGTTTATTTTTGCCTTAATAAAGGCAGAATTTGAATTTTTAAATTTTCAACACTATCTTTTCCAATGTAATACAAAAGCCACTCACTTCCATACAAACTTGGTAGAGAAATATTATGTCTTATAAGCTGGGATATAGCTCAGTGGTAGAGCACTTGCTCAGCATTCATGAGGCCTTAAATTTAATTGCTGCATTGCACAAAAGCACAGGATTCCATATTATTACAAAGCCAGCTGTGGCAGTGAATACCTGTAATCCCCGAAATAGGAATGTGAACTAGGAGGATCAGAAGTGCAAGACCACCATTGGCTATTTAGGTAAATTCAAGGTCAGCCTGGGCTACAAGGGACCTGTCCCAAACAAAACATGATAACATTTACCTGAGCTACCTGAGACATTTAAGCCGTGCACTATTTAAAAACAAACTTGAAAGGAAGCACTAATTGGTTTAGAGAGAGAAAAGAAGGAAACATTTTGAATATCTATTCTTAAAGCTGTTATTAGCTGCTGACTTAGGAGTTCTACAAGACGCTTTGCAGACTCACCCTGTTTGCTGCTGTGCTTTGAGTTCACACGAATTTCCCTGATGCATTTGGTGAGATGGCATATCATGAATTATTGGAAAACAACATACATTAGCTGCAGTTGAGATTCTAAATATACTTTTTAAGAAATAAGTCTGTGTATTTCTTCATAAGATATGGAACGAAAACAGACAAGGGAACAAAAATGGTGCTTGTTAATCGTTAATACTGTGTCCTGAACAATCACCACCTTTAGCCAGTCAATATGACTTAACATCTTTTCTTTGGGATCACAGGTTATACATTCCTAAGGTAATTCACGTAATTACAATGGGAGAGACTGTGAACTTAGCCTTTATTTATAAACATAGAAGAAGCCAGAGCCAGGGCTGGTCTGAGAGTCAGTTAAGGAGTGGTATATTTAATTCAAGTGCAGTGTTGGTAGTGTTTTAAACAGTAATCCTTGCCTCTTACGGTAAAAGTATAATATAATAAATATCGTAGTTAGCTGTATGATCTAACCTAGCTTATACATTTTTGAACCCTAAACAAATGCAGATATGCAACTGTATAAAGAAATGACAAAAACATCTAATTTCACACTTGCACTGAGGTTCACAAACACACTGCAGTAAAGGATGGGCTATTACTTACCCTACATTCTTCCTGGCAAGTATCTGGTCCAAAGTGGCTGCAAACAACATGCACAAAAACAGAAGTGAAAAACTAAACAAGAGTTTTCTTCCCATCAAGAAACGTTTGTCTCTTCAAGCCAAGCACATCTGTTAATTCATAGAACAAACAGAGCAGAGGCTGAACTGTTCTTGCCAAGTGACTGACAGCACCTTCAACCAATAAAAAGACAGCTTTCCCAGAATGTACTATGGGGGAGCAAGGAGGGTGAGACCTGGCAATGCTCAATCTGAAGCACAGAGCTAACCCAGTATTTAGCCTTTCAGTTATTCATTGCATATAAAAATTATTAGATATCGCTTTAGAGAGAAAATACATAGCTAGTAAGCACTTTATGGGAAGTTGCACTGGTGTGTGACTGTCACACACCTCCTCATAAGCTTCTCACACCACTTCTCAGGAAATAATTACCTTCTCTCTCAAATCTATGAACTATACATTTTCCCATAAATTTTAAGCAAGTTGGTTAGAAAAAAAACAAAAACAAACAAACAAAAAACCCACTGGAACTTACCTATATTTGCAGATGTGTCGTAGGTCACAGTTCTCTGATAAATGTGAACTTTCCATCTATGAAGAGAACTTGAGAGGGATGCTAATGACCCTCCAGCTCTAGAGTCAGGAGCTGCTGAAGGCTTGCTCAGTGGGATGGCTCCCAGAGCGGCTATTGTAACAGCCAGGCAAGCTCTCCCATCTGCACTGGTATTCTGCAGAACAGGAACACAAGGACAGGAGTGCTTAAAAAATTGCTGCTGCAGAGGGGAAGAGGAGGGGAATAAGTACAGGAGAATCACACGTGCTGGAAGATGTCAGAACAAAATCCAGTGCTTTCTATGCTGGTGTATGCTGGATGAAAAGGAGTCTGGGGAAGAGGAAATTAAATGAAATGGTAGAGAAAAGCCTCTTGCCTTGAATAAATAAGGAATGACTGTATTACTCCCCCAAGTCTACAAAAAAAAAAAAATCCAGAAATGTTTTGCATTTAAAACACACATAATAAAATTTTATAACACCGAAAGTCTTCTGAAATGAAACACAGGCATTTTTGTCACTTCAGGGTCTTGATACTTTTTAAAAATTATTGTTTTGTATGTATCCATGTTTCCCTGCATATATGTCTGTGCACTGCATGTGTGCAATGCCCCACCACCAAAGGCCAGAAGAAGGCCTGGGATTCCCTGAAACTGGAGTTAGTTACAGATGGTTCTTAGCCACCATGTGGGTGCTGGGCATCCAACATGGAGCCTCTGGAAGAGCAGCCAGTGCTATTAACCACGGAACCATCTCTCCAGCCTGAGAAGGGCTGGTTTAAATGAAACTTCAGAGCAGTAATAGAGTCGAGGGAGGGAAGCTGAGGACTTGTTTGATGACATTCTTGTCTTCTTTGTGTGTTGTCTCCTCCTTACATGCCACCAGGAACCCCTTCAGGAAAGGACATAAAGCACAATCACCGGATAATGATTTAATAATAAACTGCATGAGCTGGCGCACGTCTGTTAGCCAGAACTTTGGAGCGGGAAGCAAGAAGATTAAAAAGTTCACTGGGCGGTGGTGGCAGCGCTTGCCTTTAATCCCAGCACTCAGAAGGCAGAATCAAGAGAATCCTGTGAGTTCAAGGCCAGCCTGATTTACAGTGAGCTCCAGGACAACAGGAGTTACACTGAGACACTCAGTCTCACAGGGGAAAAAGAGACCAAAAGTTCAACTTCACTCTCAGCTATACACTCAGTTCAAGGTCAGCCTGGGCAATATGAGATACTGTCCCAATAGTAACAGTAATAACAAGATTAGCACTGCTTTTTGTGCCCTGATTCATTTCTACTACTTCTCATACATGCTTTTCCACCTTCTTCTCTTTCACTTCCCCACTTCCAGGGCGGGAGCCCAGGGTGGTAGCACATGCCTTTAATTCCAGCACCGGGGAGATAGAGGCAGGGGGATCTCTTTGAGTTTGAGGCCAGCCTAATCTTCAAAGCCAGTTCCAGGACAGCCAAGGTTACATAAAGAAACCCTATCTTGGAAAAAAAGAAAGAAGAAGAAGAATCAAGTTAGAGCTTGGCCCCTCCTCTTCCTTATAAGGGATCACTTCCACACACGAAGCCACACCCTAACGCCATAACCTCAAGTCTATTGGAGGAACAAGATGCAACTACAACTCTCCACCTCTCCCTTTATCAACTTGATCTTTTTCCTGATTCTGTGGAATTTTTAATACTAAAGCAGGTTTGAGAGCAGGAATTTAGTCTTCTGTAGGGTTGACAGATAAGCTATACAATATCCAGTTAAATTGGAATCCAGAAAAAACAACTAATTGTCATATGTGTGCCCCATGCAATATTTAAGACAGTACACTGGGCTGGAGAGAGGGGCCAGTTGGTACATGCTTGCTGTGTGAGCATGAGATCCAAGTTAGATTTGAAGAACCTGTGTATAAAAGCTGGGCTCTGAGGCTCACATCTCCATCTTGGTGCTGGGGAGGCAGGAGGACTCCAAAGTCTTGCTGGCCAGCCTAGCCTACTCTGCAAGTCCCAAGCCAGTGAGAAACTCTATCTCCAAAATCAAGGTGGACAACACCCTGAGGAATAAGAGTTGATCTTTGGCCTACACACACACACACACACACACACACACACACACACACACACACACACACACACAAAGATACAATGTATATAAAAGTCATGATTATTAGAAAACTACATTTTATTGAATAGTCTACATATGTAACTGTTAAATCTGGCAAGCTTAGCCCCAGGGACTTCTCTGCTACTTAACCCTTGTGTCATGTTTGTACATGTCACAAGGATATTTCTGGGATTTGAGTTCTATCTCTGTAGGTCTAGTTGGCATGAGGAATCTTTGCTCCTATATTTGACACAGGTGCTACTGGCTCAAGGACTGCCCTTCAATTAGCAAGACTCTAGAACAGCCAATGTTAGGTAAGAGCAGCACGTGTAGCTTAAATTTTCTAGTAGTCACATTAAAGAAGTAAAAATAAATGTGAAATTAACTTTAATGATAATTAACTTGATATATCTAAAATACTACCATTCTTAATTTTAAGAATTTTTAATGAAACTTCTAACATTCTTTACTGCCCAGACTCCAAAAGCTGGTGTGAAATGCACATACATAACAGCTCTCAATTCCAACTCATCGGATTCCAGGTGTTGAGTCACTACCCTTCACACGTAGCCACTATATTGGAGACAGAGAACAACTCCAACTGCCAGAACAGCTCCTAGAAGTCTTCTAAAGTATCGATGACACTGTCTGTTCCTCAGAACCCAAGTAGTGAGGAAGTGTAATCCCAAGACCATCTCCCATCGTGTTGGGACTGGTTGTATGAATGCAGAGAAACCATAGTATTGTAAGAATCATTCATAGAACTATGCTTGGGCATTATTCAAGCCTATACATTCAAAATTGTTAGTTTCAAAGCAAGTATTATATGTCTTGATGATCCTAAAATTTTACCATATCACTCTTTTTGTTGTGAGAATGTCTTCCTACTTGGTTAGGAATATTAAGAGCAGAATAATTAACACCTAGTAGGTTTCACACATTTTAAAATAGAAGTCACACTTAAGATGTGATTGTCTGAGAATAGCTTGTCTTGTGACTTTGCAGAAGAAAAACAGTAGAAAAATGTTAATTGGATATTTTACAGGCTGAACACACTAGGGAATGGCTTTGCCTCTTGTTATTCCTCTCTCTCAGACTGCTTGGGAGTCTTTGTCAAGATTGCGGAAAGCCTGAGATTTTATCCACTTGCAGCTGACAAATTAGTCTTCCCGTTTTAGAGATAGTGGCAGACAACAAGGCTCCCAGGCGAAAAACAAAGACTTCATGACTCATCCCCAGCAGATCCATGAACATCACTATTCCTATGTCAGTGTCCTAGCAGAACAGACTTGGGGGCTAGGACCTAGTGGAGGAGGTGGGTCACTGGAGATGTGTCATCAAAGGATATATTCTAACTCAGACTCTCTCTCTCTCTCTCTCTCTCTCTCTCTCTCTCTCTCTCTCTTTCTCTCTCCCTCTCTCTCTCTCTCTCTCTCTCTCTCTCTCTCTCACACACACACACACACACACACACCTCTTGTACTTGGGTGTTGTCACAGTGACCCAATCATTCATACTGTCTAGGTAACCCTTGCCTTTAATTCTAGAGGAAAAACACCCCTATTTCCAAGGTTATAAATTAACCTGCCATTGTCTTCAAGAGGAGATGAATTTTCATGTTTCAAAGTTATTCACCATGAAAACAGAAGGGAAAAAAATTCCCAGAACAAAGAAAAGCAAGTAGCTCACAACACACACATGAGAAAAATTCCCCTTCAGCAGTATCCAGGAGGAATAGAAACTTGAACAGTTTAGTTTTCTTTCTTGTTACATAATACTAAATTAATTTACCAAGTATTTTGAATATCAAAATTTATCTTTCATATTCATATATGAACATATAGAACTATGCTCATGCAAGAAAAAAAAACACATCTAACTTAATTTAGGAAGCTTATACTGAGAGAAGGCCGTATTTATCCAATGCTATCAGATTAAAAAATAAACCAGTTGAAATAGTAAACTAATGATAATGGTCTTTGCACAATGACTCAAGATCCAAATCTATCTACTGCCTACAAAGTCCAGAATAGACCCCTGCTGCTCACTCCTTCACATATCAGCCACTTCTCCTGACCATGGTGCAGGCACAGACTGCCATCTGTGGGAGTCAACTCAGCTTTCCTTGTAACCAGACATCACAGCTTGAACTGAAATATTTACTTATTTATGTGGTTTCCACACCGTGGTGATATTTTCTTTATGATATAACAAATAAATCTTGTCTGAAGATCAGAGTGCAAAGCTAGTCACACTAGCTAGCCATAAAGGCCAGGCAGCGGTGGCACACACCTTTAATTCTAGCACTCGTGAGACATAGGCAGACAGATCTCTGTGACTTCAAGGCCACCCTTAGTTACACAAAATTGACCCAGTCTAAAAGAAAAACAGAGCTCACACAATCTCAGCAATTGGGATCCTACGCCTTTAA